GGAGACTGCACATCTTTCTCTCAGAGAACAGCTGATAAATTCGAACTGTGTGCCTTCGGGCTGGCAGCATGTGTGCCTGTAACGTACCAGGCACTGAGATGGGCCTTGCAGAATACAAGTTACCTTTGTATTCTCATTACATAGTACTTTATGTCCCCATCACAAAGCACTGAGTCAGGAACACAGGAGAAAAGGCAAAAAATGTTTGCTGCATGAATTAACTAATAAATAAATGAAAGAACTACAAACGAGACTTTATCCAGTATCTTCAGAGCAACTTCTTTGGGTTGTTTTTATTTTGTTCTGTTTTGGTTTTGCTTACTTTATACTACATTTGCGAACAAAAAAAGCAAACCAAAGTCAAATATAGAAACAAATAACCCATAAAAATAACTGAACCAACATTTTCACCCTCTAAATTCAGCAAATACACCTGCATATCCCTCTCACACTCGAGTAAACTACCATTCCAGCTAATTCTTTCTTGTGTTCTTAATTGTAAACACAGCAAGAATCTGTTAGTCGTTTATTTACTACAAAATACATAATACCTTCTACAAAATATACTCTGCTTTCTGACTTAAAAGATTAATTTGTGTAAGAATCTCTATTTTCTACATACTTCCACTAAGAAACACATTTCAAGTGCAAATGGCAAAATGCTAAGTAGACAAAGCTGTTGTTAGGCTCGGTCCCCTCAGTTCTGACTCAGAGCAGCCCCATGGCCAACAGACTGAAACTCTGCCTGGTCCAGTGCCATTCTCACAACCTCCTCTGTGCTCAAACTCACTGTTACGAACACTGGGTCCACCCATCTCCTTGGTATTGCTCTTCTCCTTTGCTGACCCTCTACTTTCTTTGCATGGTGTCCTCCTCCAGGGTCTGTATGAGTATGTGAGACTAAGTTAGAGTATCTTTTTCTCTAAGGTACAGTTCTTCCAAGACAAATCTGCTCGGAAGATTTGCAGTTCATGATATATTAAATATTGTTCGATGACACCACATATACTGCATACAACATAAAACTATTGGGGGAGAGGGAGGAACTACAGGTAAAATCAGTGCATTCCTTTTTTCATCTCCCACATGTAGACAGCAAATAACTTAATATACAAACTGAAGAGTAGTCAATGTTAACTTGGACTGAAGGCCAAAGAGCACTTATTTATCCATAGTTAATAAAGGTCCCAGAAACCTCAGCCGACAGAGCTGATGGTGACCAAGACCACTGGCCAAATATACAGGGAAGGAATAAATTAATGAATCCACAAGGACTGGTTCTATCATTTTGTCTGAATCAAAGATGACCAAGAATGTGAAACAATGGATGTACTAATGAATCACTAGGGGTCTTTATTTCTTAATCTAACAGAATGAAATTTAGTATCAGATATGGCCCATAGATGTCAAATAAGCTAGGTTTAACATATAGGATCTATTTAAAATCAGTTTGGGAGAATATGGTCAAGTTTCTACTATCATCAACTGTTTCTTTTTTATTATACTAACATCAAGCCCCAGATAGGAATTTGGTTCCCATTCACCAAGTGTTAAAGTGTAGCTTTTAGTAATCTTAGAGTATGTGTATTGTTCAATTGTTATAAAGTAAGTGATACATGGTGAGCTGGGTACAGGAAACCTCTCATTGAATGAGTCATTCTGCACAGTTGAGTTTTCTGAATGGAAAGTGCTCTACACACCAAAATAGTCTTAGGGTTAATTGTTTTGAGTAATGTTTCCAAATTATGCTGCTCATTTCTCCGCCTTCTTAGCAAGTATATTTTAAAATATATCATTTTTAGACAGAAGGTAGATTATGGATAGCAGAACTCATGGGAAGGAGGGAAAGGGGAGTTGCTGTTTAAAGAATATAGTTTCTTTTTGTGGTCATAAAAAGTTTTACAAATAGTGATTATGGCTGCATACACACTTGTGTAACTATCTTTTAAGAAAGGAAATGCCATTAATTGCAAATAGTGGTTATTGATTTATTTACTGCAGAGTGATACCAAAAAGTTTGATTAAGGCAAGAACGGATTCTGAAGCTTCATCTCACATATTCTGGACATGCTGCAAGAAGACCACTCTTTGGAGAGGGACATCATGCTTGGAGTGGGTGGAGGGACAGCGCAGGAGAGGAAGACCCTGGATGAGATGAACTGAACCAGGTAGTGGGGTTAGGCGTGTCAGAGACAATAAGGTTGGCAGAGGATAAAGCAGGGTTCAGAGCTGTTGTAGGGTTGAGATGAGTCACAAGCAACTCAAAGGCACATAACCACCGTAACATTCCGAAATCCTAAGAGGAGCTCCTCTACTCCAACTCTTATGTCGAAAGTTACCATTTTTCTGTCTCTTTTCTGTCAGGCTATCAGAGGTCACATTTTTCGACTGGTTACGGCAGTCTCTCACTCTATTCTAAATGAGTTATGCCTCATATACTGTAGACTCTTTTTCAAGTTAAAAAGGAAAAAAAGTGAGGGCTGTACTTAAACAAGGGCAAGTAAATTACAAGAGGGGTTCTGAGGTCTCCCCTGGACTTTAAACTATCTATTCTGGTTGCTAATTATCCCTTGCTGCCCCTTCCTGATTAATGACTGGTTTCCAGATTCAAAAACAGTAGCAATCCAGAATCAGGTGCACCATGGCAGGCAAGTCCTGCTGTTCCTTACGGTCACCACACCTTCAAAAGTAAGCCAAACCATGCTACGAGCACACTAATGAAATTCTCCCCTGGTCATGCAACCAAAAACAAGTGTTAAAACTTGCAGGTAGACAAACATGTCTGGATTTAAAGACTAACCTGCAAGCTAGAAAACGGTCCCTTCTCTTTACATGTAGCTACTGCCAGTGGGTAAAATCTGACTCCCCAGGACCCCATTTGACAGAGTAAAACTGCCCCACAGGGTTTTTTTGGCAGCAAACCTCTTACAGAAGCGGACTGCCACATCTCTCCCCCACAGAGCAGTCAGTGGATTCAAAGTGCCAGCCTTTGGGTTTGTGGCTGGGCGTTTAGATGCTGCACCACCGGGCTCTTCATTCCTGTCTCATATTTTGTCTGTCTACATCACCGAGCATCTCAAACAAGTAGCTATCTTACACAGTACGGTTTAAAAACTTGAGGGGGAAGATTCAGTAAGCAATTTTAAAAACTCCTAACTTTAAACTTCAGTTTATTAAATCACTACATCCTAAAACTAAGTTAATCTCTTTTCAAAAAAATTAAATATTAAGTAACTTCTTTTTAATACCATGCATTTCATTACCTTGATTACTGCTGTACTGGAGAATGTTCTCTAAAAAGGGGGGAGGGGAGAAACTGTTGCTCCAACACTTGATTAACCTAATGATTAATTATCATTATTCTAAATATTGCCCTACTAGCACTGAAATCAGGTGTCTAACATCAATCACAGTACTTCAATTCTTTGCATTCTGTAAACTGCAAACCACCAACACCACCACCCCAAAAAAAGCCAGCCCGCTGCCATCAAGCAGATTCACCAACATTTATATAACCTTGTTTGTCAAGTCTGAGAAAGCCAACCAAGCAGGTGAACTCGGCTATCAGAGAAGCTACCCTGTGACATTAAGGACAGAAGCAAAGCAAGTAGACCATCAGTTATCCTAGTTATGCTTCCACGCCCTTAGAAAGGAGGCTGGCCCTTCGGCTATTTATAAATGCGGCCTGAACTGAAGGGGCCTGCCGCTGCGCACTTGGGAGGCACTTCCAAGTTGGGGAGGGCCAGGAGGCGCAGGGCTGAATCCCAGCCGGGCCTGTGGAATCTCCCAGCTCGGCCCTCCATACTTGGCAGCACAGCATCCTCTGGGTGCAGCCCTGTCTGGTCCGGAAGAGGGCTGAGAGGATTTCTAGCAGTCACTTCCAGCCTCTGATTCTATATATGGAAACATCCCATTCTAGTGTTTTCAGCAGTGGGAGCACCACTCCAACCAGAAGGCCCATGGCTCCCAGACCCATTGCCCTGCACTGAACCTTTGTCATCTAATGGTCAAATCTCTGCTGAGTCTTGTGGGCTCTCAGCTCTAACATGGAACAGCTGCAAAGAGACCCTGCATTCTTTTCTCTGCGTAAACACTGGGGGCTCTGTTCGCCCTCTTGCTGCAACATGGCCTAAAGAATTCCTCCTATCCAAAATCATCACCTACAGGTCCTACTGGCCTCCAACACACCCTCCCCAGGGCAGCATCTCCATCTGTCACCACCCATTTTGCAAAGCTGCTGGACCTTTCAACTACGTGCACTTTCTCTACAAGTGCAGGTGTGTAACCTGAAATAAGGCTGTTAAATTCAGGAAAGTTTCTCAAAAACCTTCTGGACCCCTAACCAAAAGTCTTTAGGTCTGCCGCTACTACAAGCCCCTTTCTTAAAATTCAATAGGCATAAATAGTATTGACTGATTAAGTGAAACCAAATAATATACAGACTGCAAATGTCACTGCAATAGTTTAAAGCTTCACCAACAAATGATTCTGAAGGAAGACAGAGCCTTCGGACTGGAATATCCATGGGGGCACATGAAAAATAAAATTGGGTTTCAGTGTCTTCCCTCAATACAGTCTTATCAAAGCTTGGCTTCTGAAGGGCAGTCCTGGGCTGCTTCCCGTGTTGCTGAAATCCAGCGAGCCACGTTGCCCAAAAGAAGGGGGAGGGGGGAAAAGCCCAGAAAAATCCAGACTCTACGTGACCTGACTTACTTATTTCCCAGGAAACTGCATGAGAGAGGGAAAAAAATCAATCATTCATGCTACCGTAGCTACCACATGGAATGGACTCAAGGCGTTCACAGTGGGCAAAGGCACCAGCGGAGGTAAGTGGGCGGTGGGGACCGGGAAGAGGGTGGGGAAGGATGTCAAGGGCCCCCCATGGGCCCCGCGCCTCGGTCAGGGTCCCATAGAGCTGGGGACTGCGGCCGGGGGCGGGGCTCAGGGCCGAGGCCAGGAAGCAGAGGGGTCAGGAGGGCCGGTGAGGGCCGCGCACTTACCGGGGCTGTTGGCCTCGCCCTCCAGGACGTGCAGCTCGGCGCAGTCGGCCAGCGAATGCTCCAGGCAGAGCTGGAGAAAGCGGGCCTGGGTCTGGCTCACGCGCTTGAGCAGCGACAGCAGCGCAACAGTCTGCTCGCACTCGTTCCAGCCCTTAAACCAGCCCGCCAGCACCCCGACCTGGTCGCGAAACATCATGGTTAGGGGGCCGCCCTCGGTCTAAAGAGCCCCTTGGGCACCCCAGCCCGCCCCGCCCGCCCCAAAGTTTGGCGGAGCCGCAGCCCCGCGGCCGCCGGAGACGCGTCGCTGTTCCAAGGTGGCTGTGGCGCCCGGACGTTGCAGGTACGGCCTCGGCTCCTGCCGCTCTCGTCTGGTCTCAGTTACGTTCCGGTGGTTCTGGATGATTTCCCCAGAGACGATGACAGACAGTAGCACGAAAATGTTTCTTTAAAAATAATAACGATTTTTAAAAATAAAAAATATCCCCACAAGGCACACAACTGAATGAAGCACGCGCTCTTTCCCCCCCAGCTTCTCGCAGCTTCGGGATGGTGATTTCTGGCGTCCGGGGGTTCTCCTCCCCGCTGGGCTGCAGCTCGGACCCTTCACACCCGCATTCCCGAGCGGCGATCACCACTGGAAGGAGAGAAAGGGATGCAGTGAGACCTAAGCCCCAGAGGGAGAGCGCCCCGGGGACTGAGTGCATTTGGGGGTGCCCGGGCCGGGCGGAGGAGTGTCCCGTGGGAGGGTCAAGCCCCCAATGCCAGCCGCCCCCTCCGCACCGGGATGCGGGAATACAGGCTATTCCTGTCTGGGGAATGGCGAGAAGCCGCCTTCCTAGGTGCTGGAGGGGGACCCCGCAGCTTCCTGTTGCTGCTGCTGCGGCTGTGAACGGCTGGTGCTCCCCGCGCGCCCCACCCGGGGTGGCCCCGGGGCTTGTGCCTGCGAACGCCAGTCCAGCAACAGATCTTCCCCGCGTAGAAAACTTGCAATGCGGCTGCGAGGGGGCGCGGGGGTGGGGGGGCTAATGCAAAGCAGAGGCGGAGGCAGCAGCAGCAGCCGGAGCTCCTTCCTCCTCCTCCACCTCCTCCTCCCGGAGAAGCAGCCGAGCGGCTGCAGCTCCATCTACAGCAACAGCCAGCATCTCCACCGCCAGGCGCCCCTCTGGATTTAGGCCGTGAGCAGCAGTGGCAGCAGCTCGAGACAAAAATAAACTCTCCCCACCCAAAGCTCTCCAGCCCGGCTGGCGGCTGCGCAGCCCTGGAGCCCCGGCTTCCCCGCGCAGCTCCAGCCCACCCGGGAGGTCTCCGCGGGCCTTCTCCTCCCGAGCGTCAGATGGTGTGCGCGTGGACGCGCGCCTGTGTTTTCAGCATCCTGCCCCCACCGCCACCGCCGCCTACGGGCGGGCCAGTCCGGCCCTGATCCCGGCCCGCGCGTCCCAGGCCGGAGAGCGCACGGCCCGCGGCACCCGCAGCGCGCCCAGGCAGCCCGAAACCGCAGCGCCGCTCCCCCGGCGGGCTGGGCGGCTCCGCCGGGAATGCGGCTCCGTACCGCCGACACACGCCCCCAAACGACCACAGAAAAGAAAGTTGGGCTTCTGGGGCTGCCCTAGTCCTATCCCCCGCCCGGCTGCCGCCAGCTGAGCTGAGGAGAGCCTAGCGGCTTCAGCACTCGAGAGGCAGCCCGCGCCCATCTTTCCGCGGAGCGGCCCGCAGAACTTCTCCAGCCGAGGGGGAACCCCTAGAGAAGGGGGTACCCCGCGGATCCCCAGTTGGGAGCGAAAGGGAGGGGGCGCTCACCTCGGCGCGACTCATCCCGGCGGCTCGGGGCCCCACGCGCGGATCCGGGGCCGCTGCGGCTCTCAGCGCGGCTGGGGGCGCCCGGAGCGCGGGCCGCGG